TCAGAGACAAGCTGTTTGCACTGAACTGTGCACAAATTGCAGGTTAATGAGCAAAATAAATTACTTGTTTTATTAAGCCACTGCATTTTGGGGTACTTCGTTGCTTAGCAATATTACCTAGAATACTTACGCTTCAAAGCTGAAAAAGCTCTACACTGTATTTCCAGACTCCCTTGCAGCTAGGCTTCTGAATGAGTATATTTCACCAAATACAGGGAGACATGAAGTCTGGAAACAGGCATTATTTCACCATGCACTGTGATACAATATTAAACCATTTATTATATATTTGTTCATGCTTTCTGACTTGCTGGCCACTCTGTAGATGGCCTTACACAGATTTAGAAAGCAGAAATTAAGAGAAGTCATCTTCCTGTTCTTTTGGCTCATGCTGGTGAGCAAGATTATAGAGATGATTTTTCTTTAACAGAGTTCTAGTATCTAGAATTGGAAGCATGGTAGTAAGATTAATAGCTTCTGATTCTAGCTTCCCAATTATGGGAACCCAGCTATGTGTATAAACTCTTAGTCTTGATGCTTTATCTGCCTTTCTTCTTAAAATATCTATAGTGGTTCTGCTTCCTGCTCCAAATTCAGCCTGGAGAATAAATGTCTAAATAATGCCATGACCATCAACTCATTTTTTAAATTATCTCTTCTTTCTTCAACTAATACAGTAGCTACAGAATGTTTTTTTCTCATCCTTCCCTGCTCCCTGATTCATTCTTAACACTGCAGTCATATAAGTATTTTAGAACCAGAAAGTTGATTACATCAGCCACCTCTGCTGTCAATCATGAAGAGATTTCAACCTATGATGACACAATTATTTTGATAGTCTGGGCTGATTCAAATTCAAGTTGATGCTCTTTACATATCCTCATGGTTTGGGGAAATTTTAGCAGAATCTCTAAGAAGCAAAAAATAATAGAGAAGTATGTGTCCCTTTAGCATTAGCATTCAATGCTAAAATAACCTGAAGCTGCTTTCCATACAAGCAGAGTCAGTAACAACTCTCCCGTATCGCCACCCCCATCTTCACCACATCTTCTCACCACAGCTTTTACTATATTTTTGTACACATTTTCTCATTTATTTATTTGTTGTTGTTTAATGTTTTATTTTAATATATTTAAGGGGTACATGTGCAGGTTTCTTACTGCATTGTTGAAGTCAGGGCTTTTGGTATATCTAATAATCAAATAGGGTACATTGGACTTAATAGATAATTTTTCAACTTTTGCTCCTCTCCCACACTCCTACCATTTGAAGTCCCCAAAGTCTGTTATTCTGCTCTGTGCATCATGGCTTTTCAATGTATCGACACACATTTAAGTACTATTCTGCCATATATATGTGTATATACATATATATATTTGCCATATGTGCCATATATAAAGAGCACTCATGTTTTTGAATATCTACTAGATGGCAAACATTTCTCTTATATTCTCTCATTAATTTGTATATCCACCCTTAAGTTACTGTTATCTTCATTTTAAGAAGAGAACAGCCAGTATGTTGTAGAATTGGTAATACTGTGTCCAGTGTAATCTAGTGTCGTATGAGTCTAGAACAAGGAAAACTAAACAATTCAAATATTAGTGTCATCTAAAAGAAGCCAAAAGTGGTAGAATGACCTGTAAGATTGAGCATTAGGTTTTCTAGAATGGTGTGATCTAGGACCGAGACTGCCAATCACTTGCTATTGCAAATAAAGTTTTATTGAAACTCAACAATGCCCATTCACTTATGAACAGTAATGGCATCTTTGGTCTACAAAGCCTGAAATGTTTATATCTGTCCCTCTACAGAAAAAAAAAAAAATTGTGGACCCTGGTAAAGTCATATGCTATGCTATGCTTATAACTATCACCAACTCACTTATCCCACACCCTACCACCATCACCTTCATAATTAAAATATCTGCAAAAAAGTGTGTTAATGTAAGCTAATGTAGTGTTTAATTATCCAGCTTTACTCAAGCTTACTGACATTTCTATTTCTACAACCATCACCAACACTAACATTAAATCAACTCTTCAAGCATATCCCCTTCATCATGCACTGTTATCATAAAGCCTAAACCAGTTAGCTTTATTGAGAACTCAACACCTTTCCCCTTCTAACTAAGGTGCTAGTTTTCCAGTTTTCAATTAATCTAGGCACTGTCTCAGATTGAGGGTGAAACCAATATGACACAAATTATATTTCCTAATAGATTGTGTCAAACTGAACATTGCAATACAAAAATTCTGTAATGAAATATTTTTACTTATTATTGGATAACTGACATCCACATGTTATTTGTGATGGGTGAAACCAGGCCTTAATCAATGCTGATCCTTTTGAAATAGTAGATGCTTTCTTAACTGTCATATACCTCATGCGTAGTACCCTCTTATTTCAAGGACAGCATTAATTGCACATGCCAAGATACAAGCAAAGTCTATGAAGGTCAAGCAAGGTGCCTAATTTGTATCACTAAAGGCAAAAGTTGTTCCCCCAAGAAGAAAATGAGCAAATTTTATTTGCAATTTATTTTTAATAACAACTTGAGATATAATTTACATACCATACAGTTCACACCAAAGTACACAATCCAGTGACTTTTAGTATAGACAGAGTTGTGTCACCATTACCACAATCAACTCTACAACACTTTCATCACCCCAAAAAGAAACCTCACAATCATTAGAGGTCACTCCATTTTCCTCCCAAACTCTCAGCCTAAGTAGCCACTACCAATCTCTCTCTCTCTCTGTAGCCACTACCAATCTCTCTCTCTCTCTCTCTCTGTCTGCCAGTTCTGAACATTTCATATAAATAAAATTATAAAATTTGTGTCCTTTTTGCTAAATAAAATGCTATTGTATGGGTATACCATATTTGTTTATTTATTAGTTGATGGACATTAGAGTTACTTCCATTGTTAACTATTATTAATAGTGTTGCAATGAATGCAATGAACATCAAGAAAAATTTTTGTGAGAACATTTGTTGTCATTTCTCTTGGGTATCCACTAGTAGTGTACGAGAATGCCAACTTCTCTGCATCCTTACCAACAGTTATTACCTGTTTTATTATAACCATTCCAGTGAGTATTAAAGTAGTATCTCATTTTAGATTTCATTTGCATTGTCCTGATGGCTAATGATGTTGAGAATATTTTCATGTGCTTATTGGCCTCTTGTACATCTTCTTTGGAGAACTGTCAGTTCAGAACTTCTGTCCATGTTTGGGTTGTCTTTATATTGTTCAGTTATAATAGTTCTTCATATATTACAGATGCAAGATTCTTCCTTACTGATAGATGACTTATAAAATTTTTTTCATTCTGTGGGTTGTCCTTTTGCTTTCTTGATGGTACTCTTGAAAGCATGAATGTTTTTAATTTTGATAATGTACAATTTATCTATTTTTTCTTTTGTTGCTTATGTTTTGGTGTCATTTATTTAAGAAACCATTGCCTAATCCAAAGTCATGAACATTTATACCATGTCTTCTTCTAATTTTTTTGTTGTATTAGCTCTAACATTTAGGTCTTGGGTCCATTTTGAGTTAATTTTTACATATGGTGTGAGGTAAGAGTCCAATTTCATTATTTTGTATGTGAATAGTAAAGTTTCTAAGCACTGTATAATGAAAAAGACTATCTGCCCATTGAATTAGTTTAGCACATTTTTGAAAGTCAAAACTTGACTGTATGTGAATATTATTTCTAGATTCTAAATTTTATTACTATTTTATTCATTCTGATGCTGTTAAAAATTGAAGTTTTTAATCTTTTTAATCTATTCATTGATACTGTATAGAAGATAACTAATTCATGTATGTTCATCTTGTATCTTATAACTTTTGTTGAATTTATTAGCTGTTCTTTTAGAGTATGTCTCTGGATTTTCTATGGATGTACTTTGTATTTCTATACATAAAATCACATCACCAGCAAATATCGTTATACGTCTTCCTTCCCAAACTAAGTGCCCTTTATTTTTTCATATTCTTGCATAATTGCCCTGGTTTAACTTTCAAGTACAAGTTGAATAAAAGCAGTCAGAGTAGGCATCCTTGTCTTCTTTCTGATTGGAGAAAATAATTGTCTGTCATCATATCTATGCTGTTAGTTGTGGATTTTTCACAGATGTCCTCTCTTAGATTGAGGAAGTTTCCTCCTATTCCTAGTCTGTTGAGTGCTTTTTACCATGAAAGAGTGAGGGATTTTGTTAAGTATTTTTTCTGTGCCTAATGAGGTGATCTTGTGAACTGTGATTTAATCTTATCTATTGCCATTTCCAAATCTTATCTATTGCCGTTTCCAAATACATTCAGTATTACAAGAAACTACATTTACTAAATAAATCATCACTTTACAAAAAGATCATAAAATAATATTTTTGCAAAGGTTTATAGGTAGGTAATCTAACTGAATCAATTTTAAAAATACAAAAATATAACCATATGAGGAAATTTTTTCTCACTAAAAAAGTAAAACTTTATTTGCTGATTATAGGAAAATATGTTCTTGTATGAAAAAAGTGGCACAATAAATTAACAAATGTCATAGTCAGCTGGGCGAGGTAGCTCATGCCTGTAATCCCAGCACTTTGGGAGGCAGAGGCAAGGAGGATTACCCGAGTCCAGGGGTTCAAGACCATCCCGGGCAACTTGGCGAGACCTCATCTCTCAATAAATCAAAAAATTAGCCAGGCATGTGGCACGTGGCTGTGGTTCAAGCTACTTGAATGACTGAGGCGGAAGGATCGCCTGAGGCCAGCAGATTGAGCATGCCACTGCCCTCCAGCCTGGGCGACAGAGTGAGACCTCTACTCAAAAAAGAAAAGAAAAGAAAAAAATAGCACAATCATCACTTTTACATACATTGCTTCAAAATACATGGTAAAATTATTAAGGTTCTCTGATAAAGACTGGGATTTCCTGTTCCAAACATTTTCATACAAAATAGAGATTTATATTTCAAAGACACCATTGTATTAACTTAATCAAGACATATTATTCTTCAGACTTTAAAATAACACATTAGGAAGCATGTTTGTCACACTGATATTTAGAGCTGTGCTTCCAGGAAAGATAAAACAAAAAAAAATTCCCAATTATGGTTTAATTGTACTTTGTACAGTATATATAATGCCTTCTGCTTTAATTCGCTCTAATATTGGTCCATAAATCTCCTTTGAAAATGGCCCCATTAGGCCTTTAGCTTCAATTTCACCTGGAAGAAAAAAAAAGGTGCAATTGTCATTTTAGAGATAACATTAGAGGTTAGTTCCCCAGCAAAGTCTTTACACAGAAGCTATCACCCCACAGTAAATTCAAAGTCAATAAATTTGCAGAGGCCAAGGCATTTTATAGACAAGCTGCTTAAATGTCTCCTACTAAACTGTTACTTAGCCAACACTGTAAAGAAAAGGGGACTAATTTTAGATTGAAAGCACACCTGGACGTAAGGATAATGTCAGAATTTGTACAGTTCACCACACTACTTACTGCCAAGACAATCAGAGAATAAAGAGAGAAAGTAAAGTAAACTTGACTGGTCTGCATAACTTGCTGATGTCATTTTTTTTTTTAAGGCATGACAACAACAGAATGATTTTTAACCAATTTGATTATTTGGGTGCAGACACCTGATAGGATGGCCGAAATAGTAAGCCCATAAGTCATTTTCCTTAAAGGCCACAAGGACCCCAACCTTTACCATTTTTTCACTCTGGTTCCTCAATAAGTAGGCAGATTGTTTCATTTGCCATTAGCAGATGAAACAATTAGCTACTTTACATATTTTGTCATTATTTTACATACATATGCTTTGATGTTTTCTACTCCTCTCCTTCTTTCTCCAGTATCATATGGGATATTTTATTCAGAAGCAATGCTTATTGGATGCATAGATGATCTCATATGAGTGGAGAATTGAAATTTGCATTCAGTGTACTGATAATACGCTGAGATATGAAGACAATTAAAATGTGATTCACGTTTCTGAGGATCTGAAGGTGAAATCCTCTGCTGTTTTAGTTACCACTCCCAAAATGGCAAAAATCAAGGAAAGAAAAGTAGTTCACGTTCCCTGGGGTTCTTCGATGTGGTAGCAGCTTTGTGTTTTACTTCACTTGTGTCACAGCAACATTGTGGATTAGAGATGGAAAGACCCACTTTAAAGATGAAGAAAGTCTGGCTCAAAGTTGCTGAGTAATTTGCACCCCATCATTCAATCATCTTATGACTGGGCTGAAATCAGGGGTGGAAGTCAGGTCTAACTCCAAAACCCATGCACGTTTCCCAACACAAGGTGACCTCTCAGTCAGTGCTTGGATCTTCTAAGATGGCTCGCTTTTAGCAGATACCTGTGTTATTATGCTCAAGAGTAATTACTTGATGTCCAAGCACTGCATGACCTGGAAGTGATATGCAGACAGACTCAGTAGTCAAATGAACAGAACTTACCATCAAGCAACATTTTGGCTGCCATGGCAGTAGGTAACCCCACAGTTTTAGCCATGGCTGAAAAGCCATTGATATCCCCATAAACCACAAGATCAATAGTTTTATTCTCTAAATGTCCAGAAGGATGCCTGATTCCAAAGCTGTCTCTCATCACAATCATATCTTTTTCTTCAGGGCCTTGAAATAAATAAAGATATTTGAAAACATTATTATCATTACACCTCAAATGTTGCATATCATCTCTTGCTTCTGCCTTTCTGTCTTACCAGCTTTTTCTCCCTTCATATATGACCACTAGACAATTATTTATACTGCATTTCAGCCCAAAGAAAACGTGAAAAATTCAAGGAATTATAACTGACCTCATTCCTTTGTTCAGGTCAGTATGGCTATATCTATTTACAGAGTCTACAGACACAAAGGCACTACTAAAGAGAATTTACACTTTGCTTCCCAAATTATTCTCATATTCTGGCTGGATGTGGTGACCACACCTGTAATTCCAGCACTTTGGAAGGTCAAAGTGGGAGGATTTCTTGAACCCAGGAGTTTGAGACCCACCTGGGCAACATAGTGAGACCTCATATCTCTAAAAATAATTTTTAAAAATTAGCCGGGCGTGGTGACTATAAGCCCCAGCTACTTGAGAGACTGAGGCAGGCGGATCACTGGAGCCCAGGAGGTTGAGGCTGCATTGAGTAATGATTGTGTCATTGAATTCCACCCTGGGTGACAGAGTGAGACCTCCAACTCAAAAAATAAAAATTCTCATACTAGGTCTGATAGTTAGGTTTGCGAACCATCCTAGAAAAAGTGCTATATAACTCATTACAGAATATCACTATAGTCACCTTTGAAGTACTTCCCTTGGGAAGCTATGCACCAACGCCAGCACCTAGTACAACCATCAAGGCAATTTTGGAGCACTTTTTCTGGAATGGCCATCAAATAATGTTTCCATTATTTGCTGGGGTCTGACAATTAAGTTTGAGGACTTGCTACTGAGCACTTACATTGGTATCACTGTACAAATAACCATATTGGAACACCCTCCCTACTCACCTGATCTGGCCCCCAATGAGTTTTTTCTTTACCCTAAGATAAAAGAAATATTGAAAGGAAGGCATTTGATAACATTCAGGACACCAAGGATAATATGACGACAGCTCTGGCGTCGGTGCATAGCTTTCCAAGGGGAGCACTTCAAAGGTGACTGTAGTGATATTCAACAATGAAGTATGGAGCACTTTTCCTAGGATGAGTTCGCAAACTTAATTGTCAGACCCCGTATTCTTCCCTCTGGGAAAAAAACAGTCCAAGTGCTTTTTCCCTCATATCACACCTTCCCATTTCTACTGCTTAGCTCTAATTCTCTGGTTGCCTTGACTCGGTGTTATGATTCTCCCTCATGAACATTTAGTGAATAATCCATGGCCTACCATAGGAAAGCTTCATGACCAAATGCTTGGAGAGTGCATCCACAATGGACTCTGCCCGGGGAACTTGTTCATCCCCAAGTAAGCCCAACCTAAAAAGCACAAGAGATGGCCACATTAGTTCAAGTTCTATTCACGGGCTCATTTGAGAAGCAGAAAGGAGCTCCTAAAATAATAAGAAAGGGGAAAATAATAAGAGGACAGCCCTGAATTGTAAACTAGCAATAATTATAGCAATGTTTTAACCTTCAGAATCCTCAGACTTCTCCTGGAGCAGGGCAGAGATGATGCATTGTAAGTCCATGCTTTCACAAAGTTTCTTATAAGACTAATGTATGGCCAGGTGCAGTGACTCATGTCTGTAATCCCAGCACTTTGGGACGCTAAGGCAGGAGGATTGCAGAAATTCAAGACCAGCTTAGGCAACATAGAAAGACCTCATCTCCATAGAAAATCAAAAAATTAGCCAGGGCATGGTGGCATGAACCTGTTGTCAGTCCTCAGCTACTTTGGAGGCTGAGGTGGAAGGATTGCCTAAGCCCAAGAGATCAAAGCTGTGGTAAGCCATGATCATAACCTCAGCCTGGCAACAGAGTGAGATCTCTACTCAAAAAAAAAAAAAAAAAAACAGAAAAGAAAAAGGACCAAATAATCACTGATCCAATATATCTTGCTCTAAGTTGAATGGTGGGCACCTACCCTTCAGCAGCCTCCAGCTGGGCATTATCCCCTCCGAGCTTCTTAAGAATAGCTTCCTTCAGTATGTCGGACTTAGAGGAGGGTGAAATCCCAACTAGATCACAGAGGAGTTCTTTCTGGTTAGAAAAATTAAAAGATCAATTATAAGTCCATAATAAAGTAAAAAATAATTTCACTGAGAAACTATTCTACTCAAAACATTGGATCTCAAATGCACCTCACAGTTTTAAATTAGAAATAATTAGAGATCACAAACTGTAATACATATACATACATACATCTGCAACTACACATCGAGACGTGTATGGTATTTCAGAATGGTAGATCGGCAATAAGAATGGCCCTAACATCGACTGATAGTACTATATTTACCAGCAGATTTCTTGCCTCTGTAATCCTCTTCATCACATTTTCCCCCTTCTCCCCTCACCTCCAGCAGTCAATTTTGGCAGGCATATAGAGGAAAAGACTGACTGCTACGGTTGCCATTAGCAACCTGGATCCTATTGTAGGATCAAGAGATGAGAAAGACCTCGCAAGTAATAAAATCTCAAGGAAGAACACTTTCACAGTGGTAAAAGCTTTTTCTACTTTCTAAATAAGACTTTCTATCCAGGCTCATGAAGGAAAATCTATGCTCCAGATCAGGTCAGGGGTCAACACACTGGTTCACAGACCAAATGTGGCTCTCCAGCTTTTTTTTTTTTTTTTTTTTTTAATACAAGTTGTATTGGAACACAGCCATGTTCATTGGTTTATGTATTGTCTATGGCAGAATTAAGTAGTTCTGACAGAGACTGTATGGCCCATAAAGCACAAAATATTTACAATCTGGTCCATTAAAAAAAAAAAGTTTGTCAACCTCTATTCTAAACTATAGCTACCAAGACATTGGGACCATTCCTAAAAGTGCCTGCACCACTCTTCCCAAACCAAATGCTTCAACTCCAATTCTCTGTGTCGATATTTATTCGCTCCTGTTCAACAAGTAAATTTACAAAAGGTAAGACTTAAAATGGAAAAGATGCATAAAACGTTGAATTTAAAAGCAACCGACCAGTAAGAATACCAAAGGGTTTTTTGTTTTGTTTGTTTGTTTGTTTGTTTTCTGAGACATCACGGGATTCACAATATTAGTCCTTTTCTCTGTGTGACACATTTCTGGTATTTCTACCAGAATATGGTCACACTAGTTTAGGTTGAACGACCAGCTGGTCATGAATTCTCAGAACTTCTGGCAGTTCTCAGAAGCTCTACTTTACATTCAGCTTCAAACCTCCAAAGGTCCTAACGATCCTGAGGTCGTTAGATTTTGATACAACACAGATGCAGGCATTACTCAGTAAGTGAAACTCAAATCCCTCATGGTTGTAAATAGCCAGATGAGAGAACTGATGGGACCTGGAGGTTGGAATTCCAGTTCAGGGACACACCAGCATCTCTCTTGTGTTATCACTTTCAGGAGACCCAAGTGATGCCTGTCACTAGGTCACCACTTAGACAACTGAAAAAGCCCAGAGCCCAGCATGGAGTGCAAGCATATCTCTTCTCAGAGCTCAGAGAGTAACTGAATGATAAACGTCACTGCAGGAAACAGGCCTGAGGTGTCAGGTCCACATCCTTTCCACCCTCCTACAGAAGTGAAAAGAAAGGGGACTCTGGGGTCAGGATTTATCTTCTGGCACATAAACTACAGAATGGGTTCTTTGGTTGGCCCAAAGCAGAGTTCACCCCAACCATGTCAGAAGGCATTTCTGAAGAGCAGCAGATAGCAGATAATTCTGGAGCTACTCACCCAGGTGAGAGGGCTGGCCTCAGGTCGTAGGGTGGGAAATGCTTCTCTGTTTATAAGACCCAGTTTTACAAATCCATTCAAAGCTTTGGTATATCCCTGAAATAAGAATTAATAAGCAGTATGTGAAAATGTTCTCTTCAAGGAAAAGAGGGATCTATCTTTGTAACTAATTGGAAAATAGACTGAAAATAGTTATTTGTATTGCTGATATATATACAACCAATTCTAAGCTCAAACTGAGATCAGTAGAGTCATAACAATTCCACTGGTTTATATAAGCGATTTTGCAAAACTTGGATCTTTACTTCTGTTTCTAAATAACATGTGTGTGATATTTTCTGGTAGCATAAGGGCAAATTTCCTCATATGTTATATACTGTCAGTTCAACAGAATGTTATTTAACAGAACAGTTCACTGAGCTCTTTCTTATAATGGAAAGAGGAACTTGTAAGAGTATCCCCCTCCCCCAAAAGCAGATAATCCATTCTACTGTTTAAGGGCCACTACCCCAAGGCATATAGGGAGCAGGAAAAGAGATAGGAATCAGAGAAATTTTTCTTCAAATGTAGGTATGATTATATCACCACTGTAATAAAAATTCCTAGGCCAGGTGCAGTGGCTCACTCCTATAATCTCAGCATTTTGGGAGGCTGATGTTTGAGCCCAGGAGTTTGAGACCAGCTAGATATGGTGGCATGCACCTGTGGTCCCAGCTACTTGGAAGGCTGAGGATGGAGGATCACCTTAACCCAAGAGGTTGAGGCTGTGGTGAACCATGACCGTGCCACTACACTCCAACCTGAGCAGAATGCGATCCCAACTCAAAAAAAAAAAACATTCTTCAAATGTCCTTTATTATCTACAAAGCAAGTCTGAGGTCTTTGTATGTTAGAGAAAGCCCATCATAATATGCTTATCCAGCCTGACTGGCCAATTGCCATCTATACCTCTCACTATTCCCTAAACATTTGGTCCTCTTCCAGAGATCATGGCCTCTGTACCTACTGCTCCTGTGCCTGGAATGTGTTGGCCACTCTTCTCTACTGTAAATTGTTTTTTTCTTTTTTTTTTTTTTTTGAATTTTAATGGCGCTCGAGAACCTATGTCATCCAAATTCTTCTTCTTTCTTACCAATGCTCCCTGCAGCTGCCTGAATATGGCGATTTCTTTTCCCTAGATTATGCTTCAAAAACTCCTACTCGTGTTTACCCCTTAGCAAATTTTTTTGGCGATTGAGGACTCGTGTAAAGTTTATTCCGTATTCTTCCTTACCAATAAAGAGTGCAGTTTCCTGTATATGAGGACTCCCATTATCCAGATACCTACTCCCAAAACCTGATTGGTGGTTATCTCTTAGGAACACGCTCTGGAGGTTTTTGGGATGGAGGACTCTTGTAAATATGATTCCTTATTATTCCATAGCAACAGGTCGTTTTGTGTTCTGAATATGGGGACTCTCATTACTGAAATTCCTGTTTAATTCTCGGCAAGTCGCCGAGATATTTCCTGGAGATCTAGAATTACTGTTGCTTGGATATCAAGAGAAAGACTCCATGAAATTCTTGTGGATTTGGAATCCAAGGTTCTTGGTTCCCTATTCAAAAGACACACAAAAATGTGGCGACATAGAAGCCCAGCTTGCTGCTTAAACCTTATCAAGAGACCTAGTAGATGTAGGCGATTGAGAACTCCAAGAATCAGATTCCCTTTACGTTCTTAGCAAGATGCCATCATTTTACCTGTCTATGTGGATTCCAAAACGCTGGATACAAAAATAAGATGTTAATTCTCGGCAAGTCGCCGAGATATTTCCTGGAGATCTAGAATTACTGTTGCTTGGATATCAAGAGAAAGACTCCATGAAATTCTTGTGGATTTGGAATCCAAGGTTCTTGGTTCCCTATTCAAAAGACACACAAAAATGTGGCGACATAGAAGCCCAGCTTGCTGCTTAAACCTTATCAAGAGACCTAGTAGATGTAGGCGATTGAGAACTCCAAGAATCAGATTCCCTTTACGTTCTTAGCAAGATGCCATCATTTTACCTGTCTATGTGGATTCCAAAACGCTGGATACAAAAATAAGATGCCCAGAGGTTTCCTAGGGACGTGGAATCCATGATTTCTTGGTTACATTTTAATAATTTGAACTAAATATTTGGCAACTGCAAAACCCTCGGCCCCTCTCCAAACAAAAGTACAAACGGAAATTTCAGATTACCAAGTTCATCTTAGACCAGGGTTACATCCACATACGGCAGATATACTTTTGTTCCGGGAATCTGTTCTTAGTTGTCCCGAG